TTAACCAAGGATGTCAGAAGGGTGTCCATGATTTCCAGCCAGCACCTTCTCCATTCTAATCCCTCACTCACTCAAGTCTTCTCAGACTAACTCATTTCCAACACCCTTTAATTGGTCCTTATTTTTTTCTAAGAAAAAATACTTGTATTGCTCTAATTTAATGAGGATTTAAATATTTTAGCAAGTAATGAGAAAAGCATTGTTTACAGGGATCCAAAATCATCTCTTGCTCAATATTTACCTTTAGCTAGCGGATGTCATAGTTGCGTAGTAAGCAGGCGAAGGCTGGGGAATAATCAGATCTCACTTAGGGATATTTACTATCTCTACTGTTATGGGGAATTTACTTGGAATCTTTGAGCACCACAATCTACACAAAGTTGTAAGGATAGTAAAGCATTTAGCTGTGTCTGATACACTGGAGAACTCAATACAGCAGCATTGTGATTTTATTCTCTAATTATTAAAAGTAACAAGTCTAAAACCAAATTACTTCTCTTATACCACAGTGTCCTTTATATCTTTCCATGGAAATAGAATTAGGAGACTTATTCTACCCTAAAGGAAGACTTTTAATTATCATTGTCCCAGTTTTCAAATGCTAGGGCCCCTTATTTTTATAATCCTATAAACAAAAATTTGCCATAAAGTCCTATGGAATAAAATTGGAAATTCTTGAAACCTACCCGTTTCAAACTAAATTAATCCATTTAATGAACATTGAACAAAAAGATTATATCTTTTCTCATGGTAAGATTAAAAAGATAATTTTTAATTATATATAGTTATATACATTTAATTAATATGTATAATTAAATATGGTTTGGCAAGTCCTTTAAAAGAAATGTGCAAGTAGACAGCTCCCTGAGATCCAATTACTATAGATTTGGGTCCTGGGCACTTTTCCATTGCTAAAGAAATTGGGAACACATTCATTTCTTGTACTAATCTAAATTAAGAGATGTCTCTCTAGAATAGGCCATATGCTAAGTTAGCAACCAGATTTTGTTAAAATTTTGAGACATGCAGAGATCTTAAACTATTCTCACCTAAAGACATATGTTTAATCAGATTGGGGTTTACCAACTCATGTTTTAAAAAATAAAGCTAGCAATTTAGAATAAATTGATTTGACAACTGACAAGACACATCAAATCTTCTGCTTTCTATTTTTGTAGCACACTTTTTACTATTATCTTCAAAATGGCTATTCTTTATCTTCCACCAGGAACAATAAAATAATTTTTATCCCAAAACTTTCACTTAAGTAATTAATCCTATAATTTATGTGTGCTATTTATAAAATTGAGCAACTCTAGAATTCCTCTTTTGAATACACATAGCTTCTGAATTAAATGTGATTTAAATGGCATATAATAATGCCATTTGGTGTAATGCCATTTGTTGGAAAACAGTACCTAGCCCTGGCCTTGATTTTATCCTGAGGAGTATTTGTGAGGAAAGGAACAGAAAAGTGAAATTCCTTCCAAGAGAAAAAAAATGTATACTTTCATGGAGAAAGAAATAGTAATCACTTGAGAGACAATAAAGACACTTACTGTTTGAGTTTGTGGAAATATTTCTCCCTTCATCTGCCTTTCCCTTAATATAATTGCACAATAAAAATAATCCATGTATTTACAATGCTAATATGCACCCTTCAATTTAATTTTAACTTTTTACCTATTGCAATCAGACTCAGATAATAATAAGAAAAAGTAGAAAGAGACCTTTAACACTCTGAAAAGCACGGCAGTACACACATCAAAAATAAGAAAAAATGTCCATATCACAAATATTTCCCCTACAAAGTTCAACTTATTGTTGGACATACTGTAATAAGGTCCATGGGCAGTGACAAATGTGAGTTGATCTGATTACTTTGTTCCTGTTTTATAATCACTTGTATTTCACCCTCATCTCTATCTTGAGGAACATGATTATTAGCAGGAGATTAAGCCAAAAACCCTGAAGGAAACACATTAAAATGTGATGTCTCATATTGCTCTTTTCCTATACAGCCTTAGTTAAGACTAAAGTTAAAAAGGCTTCCCTCTCAAGCATTCATAGGGGGAAGAAATGATAGAATACAGAATAAACTATAAATTTAAGTTTTGACGCAGACAATAAATTACAGAACAAAATACCAGACACCTCGAGTCCTCTGCCAGAAAAAAGTACTCTTTTGAAAATTATGGGCTTCATCTAGAGGTGATTAAGGCTGAAACCAATCCAGTGATTCAATGATAGCTTAATGTCTGATTGGAAGGGATGCCTGTAGAAAATCCCTTTTAAAAATCGTGGAGAAAATCGTGCTTTTAAAAAATCCTATTATTTTTTTAAGTGGTTCTGCTTTCTCATTAATTATACTATATGCTAAAAAAACATAATGTGGTATAAAACATTATCAACCATGAGTTTAATCTGGATGGGGGAGAGAATTAATCTTTGAGTTTACAAAGATTTGGATTAAATGTATCAGTTTGGTCTGTGACACAGTCCATGGCATAGACCCCAGAAGGATGTTATCAGGAGAATGTGTCGGCCTACCCCTCAATTGTGCTGTTCTGTGTGACATGAAAGGGTTCTCAGAAAAGCTTCTTTGATGTTAAATATTCCAAAATGTTAATTCTTCCCAAAAGAGATGAGTTTCTGATGATTATAGTCTTAATTTTCCCACTCATTTCAGAAATAAATCCCTGTGATTTCAGTGGCATAGAATGAGGTCTATGGAATAAACAGATGAATAAGAAGGCCTCAATTATCAGGTTTTTTGGTTTTTTTTTTTTTTACTACAACCATGAAAGGAGAAGCGCAATCACCATTTGAGAAAAATTAGTGAAAATGGAAATAAACTCATAAAATCTTGGGATCCAGCTTTTGTTATTTAAAAAAATCTTACAAAGTAAAATTCCTTATTGAGGAATGCATAATGGGACAGGCAGCCAAAAAAAAACATGTGCATTGTACAAAGGCTCTAAAAAGAAAAAAGATCACATCATATCTTGTGACCTTCAAACAATTTGAATACTTACAGTCTAAAAACAGCTTATCTTAACCAAGAGATAAACCAAGAGACACCTACTCCAGTGTTTATATAATATTCAATCCTCCCTAGAATAACATTGTTTTGAATTGCATCATCATATTTCCATTTTGTTGTACTAAAAATAAAAATGATAATTTTCCTATAGAGTATGTTTTATCCAAAATTAAAAACACAAAACCTCTCTCATATAAACTTGCATTGGGCTCAACACAAGTGATGCCACCATCACGTTCATCAAATGGCCTTGTGATGAAACCGGAAATAAAGCTACTGCTTTTTCATTTTGCATCCCTACTAGATTTCAAGCTCTAAAATCCATTTAATTGCATAAGAAGAGAGCTGGAAAACAAAGATTCTGGGACCAATGGCATCTAGCCTTATCTTACAAATGTCTTTCAAAAACTTGTGTTTTATAAAGAGATAATTAATATAGTGGTGCCACACAGGTGCAGGAGAATATGCTAGGTTAGGTGAGAGACGCATGACAGAAAGACGCCATGACACAGAAAGCACCCCATCTCTGCTCTGGCTGCTGAGGGGAGTTTTTCCCATTTCTGCAAAGGTGGACACTTGTGTCCAGACTTCAGAAATGTCCATCTAAAATAGGCAGAGGGTCTATGGGGAGACAACATTCCCCTGTGACTCAATGAATAACCCTAGACAACAGCATGAGGTGCGACTGACAAAAGTGGTTCCTGAAATCTGTGTTTTGGGTCCATCTCATCTTTTAACGAGCTACAAAAGGTAGAGATTTAGAACAGAACCTACAGAAAAAGCTGCAGATCTCCATGCAGCCAAATGACACTCCCTGCCCCCAGTTCAAAACACGCAGACATATAGATCATAAATTCTGGACCACATGCAGATAACATGAAATTAATTATCAGAGATATATGATGTAAGAGATACTGCCCACTAATGTTTGCCTATAGGTTCCTCAGCATTTCCCACAAGCAATGTCTAGTTTTTAGGTAAGAGATCATAAAAAATTTTATACCCCAGATCAGTCTAAAATAACATGAATGTAGATTCATGAACAGGTAGCCAAAATACCACCTGGCTGACAAATACTGACATTTTGACAAATGATAATAACAGTATTTGAAACACTATAATTACACAGAAAAAAAATGGGCTTAATGCACTAAGAGATACATTGCCTAAATAAATATCTTAAAAATAAGATATGAAATGAATCTTTACATAGACTGTAATTAATTTCACTTCAATTCTGATATGATCCTCCTCTTGGCCTTCATCTGAGCATATGTAATGTGCTTTTTAAACAAGAGGCTTTAATTTAATTCACCTACTAAAGCAGAATCCTGTCATTTTATAATTAATGACTCTTAATAGCCAATCAAAAATGACCAAGAGTGACCTCATGTGAAAGCAGCTGGGTGTTGGAACTGGTGTCAATCCTCCCCTCCATTCTGGAGGTAGGACCAGTGGCTGGATCAGATAATGGCATAGAAAGTTGAGTTCATGGTGGAATCTAAGGGGCTAAATTGGAAACCCAGCTAATAGGTTTTTACCCCTATGGAAGCCACTATTAATCACCAAGTCTTTACCAACAGTGGTCAGCTGCCCACATGTAAACTCATTTCGTCTCTACTCCTTTGGTCAATGTGAAGAGGTAGAAGCTCCTGCATGTAACAACCATTTAAACTTCCAAAGGACAGGGTTCTACCCAAACCTGAATCAAGTTTCCCAGGGCTGCTTGAGAGTGGACTGGACAACCCTAGCTCCTATCTAGGCCCTTGTGATAAATCAATAATGTCTCCAAATCCATTTACCAAGATGCTTTCGTCAGATTTACATTATGCATCCTAAACTAAGAGCATCATTTTACTTTAGAAAAGGCAGAACTTTAAAAACAGACATTTTAGAAAACAAAACCAAAACGGCATTAGAAACGTAACATTCCCTCTACTTTTGAGCCAACACTGACCTTCTGTTCCAAAAGCAATGTGTTTGTAGGGATTGCAGCAAAAGCCTTGTAGCTTGACTTGGTCTTGTATTGCTAGAATGGGTAACCAGAAAGCAAGAGTGAAGATGAAAAGGGAAAAGAATATAATATAATTTTAGACTAGTTCTATCAAGTTAAATGACATGTTGTCAAATGAAGAAAACAGCTATTATGCTTGAACAACTCGTTTTTGGCAGAAAAAATTAGCTCATCATGTTAATGTATTAGAATGAGAAGCAAAGAAATATCATGGTAAAATGTCAGCTGAGGGATTACGGGCAATTATGTGCGATCCAATTGCAGAACTCAAAAACACCATTTTCACAAAGTTATATACAAATTTCTGTATATAACTTTGAAAAACATTCCCTATTAGGAGTACTATTCTATAAATGTAGGATTTTTTTTGCATGATTCTCAAAGGAAAATGGTTCTTTTTTAGTGTCATAATTAACAAATAAATGTAATTGAACTCTTGATACAGTCTTTTGCATCATTCATAAAAACAAATCAGAATACATAAAATTTAGCAGCATATTTTGAATAAAATTAATATCAGCAACTTAACTCCATAATGGAAAAACTAGAAGGCCAAGCTCTTGATCTTGAATTTATTTTTTAAACTTCAGCATCTCCTGCGCTTTCTAATACAGTGATATTAATGAATCAAGCGATAAAATATTCTGAGTTTTAAGTAAAACCCAGAGTAGTGTCGTGGAGTATTTGGGGTAGAAAGTTGAGCATGAGAAAGTTGTAGAAATCAGGATATATGCATGAACAAAAATTCCCTTTTGATATTGCTCTGGATCCCTATCTGTTTAAGGCTCTTCTCACTTCAAAAGCCCCTATTTCAGGTGGTTTTCCAGTGGCCCAGAGCCAGCAGGAAATTGGCACAGAGCTCCAAGCTGTCATAGTCCCCTGGAAAGCAGACCAAAGGGTCTATGGAAGAAGACAGGGTAATCAAATAAAATAAAACCCTGAATTTTATGGATGCAATGGACCTTCGTTAAACTGTTGTGCACAAGGTAAGGCAAGCATTCATTTTACTCAGAAAGAGGTTGAAGTAGAGCGAAAACAAAATGTCAGGCCTGGAGATGTCTCAGGTCTCTTCAAGTTCTGAGTTTCTATATTGACCCTATGCTGACTGGTATGGTCCCCAGACAACAACAATATTTGGATAAGGACTCAAAAATGAAATGCTATATCTTCATGGGGAAAAAGCACTGACCCTTATGACTAGAAAAATTAGAAACATTGCCTCATTTCATTTCACAGAAGGCCTATAACTGAAGAGTCATTAGGAAAGGAGATGTGGTGAGATCAGGTGACTTGTCCAAGATTATGCAGCCTATAAAGAGCAGGCACGGGTTTGGAACATACACCTGCCTGAGTTCAGTACCCATGCCTTCTCTATAACATAATATTTCTTCCCAAAGAATATCTAAACACACAAATAACATTTAATGAAATGTATCATTGATACTCTATGATGGTCTTATGAATATTTCATTTTAATAATAGTTGCAATAATAGTAACAAGAGCTCCCAATCACTATGGGCCAGGTACCACTCTAAAAGTTTTTGTGTATTATCTCATTTAATTTTCACAACAAACTGAGGTAGATACCATATTAGGTCAATATCATATTATATCCATTTTATAGAGAGAGACTAAAGCACAGAGATACTAAGTAACTTTTCTGAGGTCACTAGCTAGTACGTCACAGCTGGGATTTGGATGCAGGCATTCCAGCTCAACAACTGTATGGTCATCTGCCATATGCTCTTGACTCTTCATATCGGGATGCATAATTATTTTTAAACTTTGTTCTCCTATTCTCAACTGCCCTAAAGAATACAGTTGGAGAAGCCTGTAGAGAGATCTTATTATTGCACACATAATGCCATAAAATCTTAGAATCCAAATTGATATGGGGGACCATCTAGCTCAACAATGAAAATGCAAATACTCTCCAAAGGGAAAAAAGAAGCTTTTGTCCATTGCTGACACTTAAGTGTCAATCATTACTAAGATAATTTGGACAGGCTAGCTGGAGAGAAGCAATGGGGATAGAACACAAAATTGGCCAGTACAGAGTTGGAAGTCATGGATAATAGGGTTGGGAGAATCTCAGAAAAATCTAGACTCCCAAGAAAGATGCCAAGAACTTGGAGAGGAGGTAGAGTAAAAGACCATAGGAGTAAAAGACAAAAAGGAAACAAGAAGATGTGTGTCTAGTCACACCTATTTTATCATTTCACATACAGCTGGTCTCAATGACTGCTGAATGTTTGTTACTATCTACAAAATATAAATGGAAATACTATCATCACCTTCACTCAGCAGAGCCACCTTCACCACTTGCCTAGATTGTTGCAGGGGTCTCCTAAGGTATCTTTACTTCCCCCCACACCCTCTTGCAGACTATTCTTAACACAGCAACCGGATAGATAAGATTGTGTCAAGTATCTACTCAAACCCTCCAATGGCTTCCTGTCTTACTCGTATTAAAAATCAAAGACTTAGCAGTGGCCAACAAGACCTCCCACAACATCTCCCTCTGATAACCTCAGCTTCCCCTCAGTCACTCCTCTGGCCACCCCAGCTCCCCTGTCTGTTCTCTGTACCTGCCAGGCACTCTCCTGACTCAGAGGTATGTCCTGACTATGCTTTCTGAAGGATCATCAAAAGAGACATCACTTTCTCAAAGAAACCTATCTAGACTGCCCAGAATACATTTGTGACACCATCCCTTACTCTGCAGTACTTCACTCCATACCATTTATGACCTCCAATCACACAAGAAAATTTCCTTATTTGGAGGGGGTCAGTATTGTTACTCTTCCACCCTAAAATATCAACTCTCTCTGTGCATTTTTACAATTTCATGTGTTGCAGTAGTCACACAACTTTGAGAAGTGCCTTGCACATCATTAGTGCTCAACATATACTTAGTGAATGAATGAGTGATTTACTTGTATTCAGATGAACTATTTTAGCTCATGGAGGTACATCCCTTACTGTTCATTTCCCAGATTACATGTGAATCAGCAGAAATGGAGAAAATCACATAGAGACTATTGCCATCAAGTTTCCAATGTGACACACTTGGAAGTTTTAAAGGGATGAGAGTTTATAAATAAAATGCCAGCTATCAAAGTGCATGAGAAATCAAAAAGCTCCCACCTGATTCCCTAAACAAGCTATATGTCCATATAGCTTTAAGGGCAGAGCAGGCACGTCACTGGAGGCCTCATAGTCAAAAACGAGTTTCAGACCACCTTCAGTAAGTGAAAATATATGAGGTTTTGATGTAATGGCCACCCCAAATTCCCATAGAGAACACCATGATACCTGACTAGGAGAAAATTTTTTAACTATTTTACAAGTGAAGGCAACATATATTGGGAGCCCAAATACAACACTGTGGATTAGTTTTTCTGATATTCAGTCTTTCCCAAGGGAAAAAAACATTTCAGACAATATAGATGTTGATCAAAGAGTACCCTGCACAACATTTAGGGTAATGCCCATCCTGTCTAGGACCACGATTGTAATATGAAATAATATTTTGAAACTATACCTGAAATTAAAATTTGTCAATTAAATCATACTAATGCAAACAGATTCAGAACCTTAAGATTTTATCTATGAAAAAGGAACATCAAACATGTTCTATACCTGAATTCAACCCCAGTATACTGTAGATGTTCCATTTATTTTAATATCAAAGGACAGTAGGGCCCAAACTTTGAACTAATATCCTTCAAGTATTCATGTTTTAATTTGATGGCCATCTGTATTCCAGGACCTCTTTCCTTCAGGGATCTGGCACTGAGTGAAGCTGATCTAAATCTGAAGCTCTTTGACTTCAAAGAGAGCCCTGTGCTCGGATTAGCACCACAGTGGAAGGAGTAAGACAAGAAACAATCTATAAAAAGCATATAAGTTCTTTGATACCCCACAGCTTTTGTCCATTTCCTCCTATCAATCTATAAAGTAATCTTAGCAATTTAAGCAAAACTAGTCAAACATCAAAAGAAACAGGGATAAAATTTATCTATTCCCAGCATCCATTTTAATGAATGTTTTATACTCAAGTTACAATTCCTACAAATAATAGTTGGCAATAAAAAAAAATGTAGGCTGATTTTTTACCTGGAGAGATAAAAGCAAGAAGCAAGAAGGAAATAAATATGACGAAGAACAGCATGTCTCAGAGCAACTATTTTTGCAGAAGTTATAAATTTTACCCATGAAAAGAAACATTTTTTTCTATTCAAAGGAATATATAAAAATAGATAAATTACAATCATCCTTCATATTTTCAAGTTTCATCAAATTTGTCATGCATTTCTATAAGCTTGAATTGTATTAACCTGGAAATAAAGAAAATAAAACAGGAAAATAAAGCAAATGCTGAAAATTCTTCAATATCGGGAGTAGCAAGTGAGCTGGGCGAGACCAGTTCTTCAACAAATTTGACTTCAGGACAAAAAAAGGACTTGGCTTTTCAAAAGCCCTTCTGAGCTCATCTTCCAGCTCTCCAAAAACAGGACAAAACATGAACAAAGCAGAGTGAACCACAGATAGAAACACTTTTAAAAAGCTTCTGGAGTAAAAGCACTTTTCACAGAGGTAATGAATAATTTAAGTATGTAACAGTATGCTAAGAATGTGTTAATAAATTCAGGAAATGGTAATATTTGATCACTTGGTTTTTTTTAAATCTACCACAAACAAATTCCATAACCGCACATATGTACTGAAAAGATAATCAACAGGCAGGCCATTTTTTACCTCAGATAAATAAGATTTTTCAAATTTAGAATTATTGAAAAAATAAGATTTTTCCATCCCATTTGCTTTGAAAGTTTAAAATAGAAGGACTTAATAATCTCTAAAAATATATTTTTAAATGACCAAAATATTATGGGAATTGATAACTCTGATCATTATTCCATAATAATGATGATTTCCTTCATAAGAATTATCAAATCAGGCTTAAATGATAATTAATGAGTTATTGCTTTGTAACAATAAATTATAGTAA